TCTGATGCTGCTTGGCCTGCTGTGTTCATCCAGCTCTACACCTTGTTGTACCATATATCACTCATTATGCAGTATTTTGATTTTGCATCTTGTTTGTATTACTGGGTCAACAAGTTTTCTTTCATTTGTATTTATTGTATTTTCACTTTTCATTTTGTTTCCAAGTTCATTCGTTTTGGTAACATGTTGAGTTTATGTTTCATTGCAGTTTGGCTGGAAGCAAAATGAGTTTGATCTGTTGGCTGCTGGAAGGTAAAACCTGTTCTGTGCTATGTCTTTCTGTTTTTGCATTATGTGTTTCTATTTTAAAAGTTATTTTTTCTGATAGACATTTATTACTGCCAGCTTGGTGTTTGAAAGATGGTCTCTTGGGAAATTATTCCTGTCAAAAATGTTTACATTTTGTTCACTTCTAATTGAAAATAACTTGCGTGTTAAAATATTTGAATGTGATTACGTGACATAGTAAGAGCACTGCTGATCTCTGTCAGATGCAGTTTAAAATAATATGCATATCTGAAGTTAACAGTTGATCTATCGCCGGTCTTTCATTCTTTAATTACTGTTTAACCAGCTTGCACATATCCCAGCACTATTGTCACTGGTACAGTACATCTCCAAACTTCAGTGATATTGTGAGATAGTAAGAACTGCCGATGCTGGAGTCTAAGATAACACAGTGTGGAGCTGGAGGAACACAGCAGGCCAGGCAGCATCAGAGGAGCAGGAAAACTGATGTTTCGGGACGGGACCCTTCTTCCTCCAGCTCCACACCGTGTTATTAAGTGATATTGTCACTGATTTTACACACTTCTTTACAGATGCTATAAAGTTAACCAGTCTGAAAAATGATAAAACATACATTGATACAGCAAGGAGGGATCTTCTCTGAATAATTTGGGGCCTTGTTTCATTAAAGGGATTATCTTGATACTAATCATAGTTATATCACTTAATGTCTAATCTTTATAGTTCCGTATCATTGGACAGTAGACCATTATACTTATAAATTTCCTTTTTGTTTAACCTGAATTTCTAATCATCCTATTCAGAACTGTTATTACACACTTCTGGAGCATGTGGGATTTGAACATCATTGTACTTCTAACTTTAACTTCTAACTAAGTTTGATAATGGCATTAGAATTGGTCAATAAAACTTACACACTTGAGCTGTAGCTTAGTGTTGATGGAAGTATCAATAGGTATAATTTGATTCTGTAGATATTGCTCATGTTTCATTATTTCCCATGGACCTAGAACTACTGCAGTTAACAACCAGGGCATCACCAATGCTAATATTTTATAGCTCCTTTAATGCAATAAAATGTTCCAAGATACTTTACAGCAGCATTATAAAACAAAATACGACACTGAGCCGCTTAAGGAGCTATTTCACCAGATGATTGGTCAGAGAGATAATTTGTAAAGGAGGAAAGTAAGATAGAGAGACAGAAAGTCGTAAGGAGGGCCTAGGCAACTGAAGGCACAGCCACCAATGCTGGAGCAATTAAAATTGAGGATGTTCAAGAATTAGGTATCGCAAATGATTGCAGAGTTGGAGGGAATTACGGAGATGAGGGGTCAAGACTTGGAAGGATATTAAACAAGCATAACTGTTTTAAAATTAATCTGTTAAGTTTGACTCGCAGCCAATGCAAGTCAGCAAGTAAAGAGGTAATGGGCAATAGCACTTGCTACAGGTTAAATCGTGGACAGCAGAGTTTTGGATGACTTCAAGTTTGCAGAGGGTAGGATGTAAGGGGCCAGCCAGAAGTATGTTGGGATAGTCGAGTTTAGAGATAACAAAGTAAAAAATGAGGCTTTAGCAGTTGACGAACTGAAACAGATAAAGTTGGGCAATGTTACAGAGGTGGAAGTGATGGTACTATATGTGGTTGTATGATCAAAGACTTTGCAAAGCTGAATGAACATGATGCTGAAAATACATGTACACTTCCTGTTTTGAGATTAACCCATTCTGTAGTATTGTCATCAGAAACCTTAACAAATTACACTCGTTTTTTTTGGGCTAAAGGTTTTCTCCCTTAGCAGCTTTTCAAAGAAAGAAAACTGTAAAGTTTGCTTGGAAGATTTTTTTTAAAATGAAGCAGAATATAGGTCTTTCTTATTAACCACGTAGCCAAGTTTTGTATCATCAGGCTTCCGTAATGAAGTTGGGAGCCTCATTACCGAAACGGTTTTCTGAGGCTCTGGAAATTTGTCACCTAAATGGAGATGTGACAAACTAGCTACGTGCTTTTTAGAGAGCCAGGAGGAGCAGGAGTGATCCCCCAAGCTCCCTAAGAGAACCTTTGGCCTCCCTCCTTCTTGCTTTTCCTTGGCTGCCCCAGTTGTCTAGCCAACCCACACTCAACCTTGAACCCTGTGCTTTTCTTCCTCCTAAATTTGACTCTCACCCACAAATTCATTCATTTGTTAAACACTGTCCTGAAAGGGGTTGAGGTGCAGCCCCTTGCTGTTAGCCTTTCTGCCTGACAGCAGGCCAGGACAATAGTCTCATGGCCTTCTGAACTGGAAATGGAAGATAACAAAGCATCTGCATGCAACATCACTCACTCTCTGCCTCCCCATAAGATGCCCTACTATCGGCGTTACATCTTATGAAAGTTACAGACTAAATCCAGATTAATATGTCTAGACTATATATTGACAGCCTCAGAGGAGCATTGACTTACATGCCATTTTTCCCGTTGCCCACACTAGCCCTGCTGAATGACATCTTTGAATAAAACTGTCAGATTGTGTTAATTCAAGGATAATTTTGCATAGACTTTTAGAGATAGTTAAGATTCCTGAAATTAATTTTGTAATACATCTTGCAGTCAGCAGAGGGAGAAGGTTTCCAAATTTTTCATCAGGATTTGATTAACACAATAAAAACTGAAAGAACTGTGGATGCTATAAATCAGGAACAAAAACAGAACTTGCTGGAAAAGCTCAGCAGGTCTGGCAGCATCTGTGAAGGGAAATCAGGGTTAATATTTAGGGTCCAGTGATCCTTCCATTCCAAGAGTCACCGGACTCAAAACGTTAACTCTGATTTCTCTTCACAGATGCTGCTAGACCTGCTGAGCTTTTCCAACAACTTCTGTTTTTGTTTTTGATTTAACACAGTTTCAGAAATGATGGAGGGATTTTTGAACTGAGTTTTTAACTGTGAACTTTGAATTTTCGTTTTGTTTACCTCACAAATATGTTTGTGGGTACACACTTTTTAATTTGATGTTTAGTCTTGCAGGTCATCTGATAGAGTGTGGAGCCCAGTCTACAGGTGGAGTATTTACTGATTGGCACCGAGTTCCTGACTGGTATTAAACCAATCTTTATATTTACCTCTTTCAAAACAAAAATCAGCAACTCGTTTCTTGATTTAAATATATGTGTAATGTCTTTACAATTATTCATGCTAATCCTAGACATTTTAGCTAAAAATGCTATATTTGTCTTTCTGACTGCTGCCTTGCTTGTTTCTAGATTGCATAAATGAACCAATGTAAATTTAATAGAAACTAGTTTTTAGATGTAATTATACACTGGAGTATATTTTGGCTTATTTAATAACTTGAAAAGGAATTTAGTATGTAACTGTGTTACAAATATGAAATTTTATAAGGTTATTATGTTTTGGTACTGTTTAATTCAGGGTAAAATGGAGGAATGGGGGTCATGTGATCTTTTCTGTCTTCTTCCCAGCAACAAGCATTTTTTTAAAGGGACCCGGTTTGTTTTACTGAGAGGAAAATAGACGATGGAAAGAGCATTTTTGATCAATATAGGTGGACAGAGGTTTCAAAAGGTCCTCCTCATGCATCCTAAAACACCCCTAAAATCAATACGCCCACAACCCCCACATGCCAAGGTATGCTCCCAAAACATCCCCACGTGGTTTTTCATGCTCACCTTGGCGAAGTTGTGCTCTCCAAATACATTCCATTCCAGTTACATCCTTCGTAGAAACATAGAAAACTGGAATATTAATACGCCAATCAGCCCTCAAACTTGGTCCACAATTCAACATGATCATGTACCCTGATGATGCACAGTACCTTGCTCATGCTTAAAAAAAATTCCCCCAAGCACTCTCCACAGTCCCTCATGCCTACGTGTGACAGGCTATGATCATCAAACAACACTGTTGACCCTTCTTAACCTTGCTAAGGTATACTCCTCCAAACAGCAAAGCATGGCCCTTCTTCTCCATGCCAAGGTATGTCCCTCTTCCCACCCTACATGACCCCTCATCACCATACCATGATAAGATACTTTTATGCCAATTTACCCACTATGCACTGTGTAGATGCATGAATCCTAGAGTGCCCAAGGGATGTGTAAAACAAAGCTTTTAAAATTATTCATAAGTCTGCGCCAAGTTAAAGCCATTTTTTTAAAAAAGCTCCATTCATTGCTCCCAATGCAAGTGTCAATCTCCAGACCCTTTAAAGACTTATTATGTCTTTTTGGCTGACAGTCTGGATAACTGTTAGCCTTTCAGAATAGCTGTGCCCTGCAAGATAGAAAAGGAGGGAAAGAACAAAGAGGATGAACAAGTCCCACCTCGAAATGCTGTCTTTATTATTTATTGTCTAAATTAACCCACACTCTGACTGAAGAGACCAGATTTGTGAAGATTTGAATGATTTTGGAACAGTTGCCTAGCTTGCATTAAAGGAGGAAAACTCAGGGGAACCCTCCTCATGAAAGTCAGTCGTAGGAAAGGTAAAGGGAAGAAGGCTATCGGAAGTGGAAAATTGCTTTGGACTGATTCTGGGAAAATTAAGTGTCGGCTGAAGGGACAAAGTATAACCATGGTGGAGGAAGTTTGGTCATTTTAAAGGTGGAATGGGGAAACCTTTCTTTAGTTGTAAGTATAAATTGCCTATAAAAAAGTATTTTGTCACTGTTGCTTTTAGTTTGTTGATCAGTCTTAAAATTTGAAATCTTGTTATGAGATCTTTTAAATAAGTCACTGGAATTCAAAAGTGTTTTTTAACAGTTATCAGTCTTCTCAGAATCCATAACAAATGTGAGAATCCCTAATTTGGTTTAAATCAGGCTTTGCTATTAATATCAGAGATAGTAAGAACTGCCGATGCTGTAGTCAGGGATAACACAATGTGGAGCTGGAGGAGCACAGTGGGCCGGGCAGCATCAGAGGAGCAGGAAAGTTGACGTTTCATGTCGAGACTCCTCTTCAGAGAGAAGATGGACAGGTTGTGTCAGATCAAGGAGACTGGGTGAGAGGGAGGGTTGGTCATTGGATGAGGCTGGGGGTGGGATGATGTTGAAACTGGTAAAGTCCACATATTGGTGAGACCAAGTGGAGGCTCGGAGACCGCTTTGTAGAGCACCTGCGCTCTGTTCGCGACAAACGACAATGCCTTCCAGTCGCAAACCATTTCAACTCCCCCTCCCACTGCCTGGATGACATGTCCATCCTGGGCCTCCTCCAGTGTCACAATGATGCCACCCGGAAACTGGAGGAGCAGCATCTCATATTCCGCCTTGGGAGCCTACAACCCACATTATGGACTTTACCAGTTTCAAAATCTCCCCACCTCCAACCTCATCCCATGACCAACCCTGCCTCTCATCCCCGCCTCCTTGACCTGACACAACCTGTCCATCTTCTCTCCCACCTATCCGCTGCTCCCACGTCACTGACCAATCCCCACCACTGCCTACCTGCACCCACCTATCACCATTCTACCTACCTTCCCCAGGCCCACCCCTCCTCTCTCTATTTATGTCAGATGTTCCTTCCCCCTCTCCCATTTTTGAAGAAGGGCCCCGACCCGAAACGTCAACTTTCTTGCTCCTCTGATGCTGCCTGGCCCACTGTGCTCCTCCAGCTCCACACTTTGCTATTAACATGTAAGAATGTAATTTTTATGACTGTCTTTGTAATTGTGACCATTTTTGACCACCTTCTATCACTTCTGCTCACCTGATTCTTAATGTTTGATCTATCCTACATTGTATAATGAACAAGAAACTATAGGAGGAATCTAACCTTTTGTGATGAATAGTATTACTGGTGTGTCAATGCTTATACTTTGCAGATCTAAGCACAAAAACACAAGCGTCATTGTCTTTGGTAGTCTCAAAAAAGTTTAAAATTGCTAAAACCCAGCAATATTCCAGATTCTGGAAATGCTACATACTTAAAACAGAATGTTTTGGGGAATAGAAGGGTGAAACTGTTAAATATATGGGATGCTGTGTTGAACTACTGAGATCAAGAAGATCCCACGCTGGATTCCAGTGCCTGGAAATTCCATACGTGTTGTTCCCGTGAGAGATCGGTAGACTCCTTGAGAACTGGCATAGGCTACTAAAAGTGGCCTTTTCTTGAGTGGTCTGACAATCTGCTGCAGAAGTTGTGGCAGCAGATTAATGGAATTAAGCTGCTTTCAGTTAAGAAAGTAGCAAGGTAGCTATAATTGCCCACATTGTTGCAAAAATACACCTACATCGATATCACTTGAGAGCATGAACGGGCTGGTTTTGATACCCAGATATCAAAGACTCAGTGCTTGGGTTCAAACTTGAACGGTGATCACTGTCTGAGCTACCAAAGAATTGCACTGCTTGTGGAGCTTGACTTGAGCTTCTGTCTGAAAGGAAAGCCAAAAAGTAAATGTGAAAGATTATAGATCAGAATCAGAACAGTAATGAAGTGTAAACACTCAGATTTTGAGGGAATAGCATTCAACCTATCATTCTCATCAGGATCTGGTCATTTTAAAAAATCTGTTCTAAACTAATCTTCTGGTAAGAAAGATATGGAGTCCCTTTTTGAATTGTATGGTTTATTCAATTTGTGAATATGTTAATTTTTTTTACAAGTTCATGGTTTTTTAATGAGATAGTACTGCTTGTTTAACTTGAATAAAAGCTGCTAATCTGTTTAAATCCATGTCACATCCATTTTTCAGGGATAACATTGGTTTTCCAGTGGTTGAGTGTTCCTCTGATGGAAGTTTTGTCCTTTCTAAACCACCTAAAACTGGAGGATTGGTTTCATTTGGTACTGTTGCCGAGCAGCTTGTTTATGAAATCGGTGATCCCCGGCGTTACCAATTGCCTGATGTCATCTGTGATTTCTCCCAGGTCACCCTATCTGAAGTGCCAGGTCTGCTATTTCTATCACTATTTCCATGTACACAGAACTAACTATATTTTAAATTGATATCATTTCAGTCTACAAATATTCATTTAAAATTGTGATTTGTGCATAAAAGATCCTCATATCATGAAAACATGGAAAAAGTGCTTATTTCAAGTTTTAATATATCTATACACAGAGATGAGTTTTGGCATTTACAACTTTATTTCATTTGGGCAAAACTCCACAGCATAAAAGCTCCAGCAGCTAGTGATTCTAAAGACATTAAAAAGTTCATTTTTTTAAAACATCGTAATTAAAAACTGAAGGAATGAGACTGCACACTTGTAGTAGTTCATTTTTTAGCTCCAGAGACATTGTTTGACAGTAATGAACAAGTATCGTGCCATCAAAAAGCATTCTTGGACTGAAACGTATAGTCTTAACCTTCGGTGAGTTGTTTAGTTAATATCTACCATATGATATTTAATACATTTGACTGGTGCATCAAGACAACATACTATTTCATCAAGCTAACAGCAAAACAATATACTTTGTACTATAATATGTTGACTTTTGTACTTGGCCTTACCTGGAACTGCTGTATGGTATACACATAGCCTTAACATTGTTTTGACAAGAAGATCTGGACCATTAAATGTCTGCACTATGTGGATGCTTGCCACTTCAGCAGTATAGAAGGTACTTTTTAATGGTTGGCTTTGCAGTTACATTAACAGATACAGAAGCAGTTTGACCACTCATCATCATGACTGGTGATATTGTGTACATAGGGTATATGGCACAAAAACAGATCATTCAGCCCAACCAGTCTATGCCAATGTGACTTAGAAGGGAGGTTATAAAACAAATTGATGCATTTAAAGCCAAATTCAAATGTTTTTATTTTGAGTGTTTTTTTGATAGGTTTTACTTTGTATGTCTGTACTTTTTGATGGGATAAGTCTGCCAGTTTAGAAAACCTTCCTCTGTTAATTTTTTTAAGAAAATGTACATAAGTACAATATTGTTAAGAAGGTGCAGTGAGATTGATACTGTGATAGTGGGAGAGGGGAATGACCAACGTTAGGTTGCCACACTGAAATATAGTCCTTTTGGTAAAGGAGAGTCACAGGACCTATTTACCAGGCTCCAGCAAGAGGGTTGTGATGGCAGGATTTTTTGAAAATATGCAACATGGCTTTTGGTCCAGGTTTGTACACCAACTGCCCATGAGTGGATGGAAATTCTAGCTCAAAATTCTTTTCCCATTCACCTAATTTTCTCTGTTTCTTTGGGAGGTTTCAATCCTTCTCTGTGGAGGGCTTAATTCAGGAAAAATCAAAATATTGCGAATATATATTATGGAGAACCTTCTGAATATGAGCATTTAACAGCTTAACTTCCTGTTGTGACAATTTTCATAGTACTTTATATGTCAAAATTTAATTTATAATTAGAATTATGTAAACATAATGAGAATTTCCAATGTAAACACTTCTCTGTCATTGTGTTGATGCAGGACTCCCAGCAGGAGTATCTCTCAGCTCTCAACTTTTTGACCTCTTCAATTTTAACCCCTGTTCCTTCATTGATGGTCTAGTCGCTAACTGCTGCTCAAATAGTGTCCTAACTCGATGAGCTATCTTTCTGTTGCCTCACTCCGATCTCTCAACCTCAACCAACCGCCAACCCCCAGTCCCAACTTCAACATTTTCATGATCCTTCCCAGCTCTTTTATCCACATGCCTTCTCCATGAGCAATGTCATGAGAGCTCTACGATCAACAAATATATTAACATTGATAGTAAGTCAGTTGAATCATCATCCCATTTCCTGTGGTTAACAAGCTCTAAACTATGAGTAGGCTGTAATTATTTTAGATGCAGCCAGCTGCTGTGGATAATTAAACGAATAAACAGTACGATAAGAGCTGCATGTTCCACTTTTCAACCGACCAGGTGAAGTCTGTTTTGGATCTGAACTACAATTGAACCCTCTGCTTCTTAATGAACGAGTTCATAGCATTTAAACTCTCGCTGAACTTCTACACGAACTTTTCTATTTACATGCTGTCAAAATAACTAAGTGGGAAAAATGCAGAAGTTTTGTTTTAACAAATGGCACTCAGATAATGAAGCAAAATGTGCTCTTATTTGGGAAATTATTGCTGTTTACTGTGAGCTGTTACCAATGTAAATGTTTGCTTAAGCAGCACTGTAAGCATTTAATATGCATTTAACACTATTTTGTTCTCTGAAATCGGTGAAAAACTTGATATTTTTGTAACTGTAAACATCAACTTGTAGCAAAATTCTGATACTTTAAGACTGTGATAGATCAATCACTTGTCTTTGCATCTCCATGGAAAGATTTAAGAGGGGAAAATAAGTATTAAATGTTATTAGACCTAATACAATGAGGTTGTATCATGACTCTCATATAATGAAAAAGTAGTTTCAGCTGTTAATATGACTCCAAAGTTTGGCCCTTGCCTGATTCAAGGGAATTGTAACAGCAAATGCTGTGAAATCCTACCAGTGGAAGTCTTTGCCCAGATTGACCTGACATTACTTCAATATATCTTCAGTGGTGGTTCAAATCATGCATAAAGGTACCTATCGCTTTTTGGTTCTATTGGATACATGATAAAGCTACCTAGAGCTATAGGAACAGGAACAAGGCATTTTGTTCCTCCATGTGAGGAAAAAAAATCAATGATCTATGATCAAATTCCAAAAATCAACCTTTGTTCATTTCCCTTAAAAGCTTGAGATAACAAAAATCAATTGATCTAATGTGAGTTGTTCTTTGATCAAGAAAATTCCAAACTCCAACCCCACTTCATGTCTGAAATTGCCTCTTAATTTCCTTCTTGAAAGGTTTGACTTTTTAAAGAATGCCCTCTCAAACTAGTCTCTTCACCATGCACCCAATCCGATGGAGCTGAGGAAGACATAATGACAGTGTAAACCTTACATTTGTATTCTGAACACAATTAAAGTATACAAATGTGAATCAGAGTTCTTCATATTATGTTTGCTCTCAGGCAGTTTAAACAAGATATTTAAGCTGTGCCTGCAGTTACTGATTTCAGACCAAGAAGTACAATATGACTATAACTTTAGGTACAACAATGTTTGCACCTCTTCCTAGTTCCAAGATTAAGTTGTGATTTCCTTTTCTACTTGTGTAGGCTTATTACTTGTCTTTCAAAATGTAAATTGGCCATCTGAGTTAAAGGAAACTTAGCATTTATTAAATCCTTCATACTAATCACGTGAGGAAGTATATAGTCCTTAGTCTTTTTTTCATTTATGGGCATATTTACTTGTAAAAACTTGCTAAGTTCTGTAAAACTTGTGTGCAAACATATTATAAAATATATTTTTATTTATATGACAAAATCCATTCAAATTGTTTTCCTATGATGCTGTGCCAGAACTGAAGCAAACTGCTTTTGCTGTTGTTTGCAGATGTAGAAGGTGGAGCAGTACGTGTTCAGGGAGCAAGGGGATTGCCTCCATCTGACAATTACAAGGTGCTGTGAAAGTCATTGCATGCAAGTATTAAACAAAATGTATGGGGGAGGAGCAGTTACAAACATATCAGTTTTGTTCTATAATGCAAATTACATATATAAATAATATAGGAGAAATGATGATCTACTGGTATTATAGCTATACTATTAATACAGAGAAAAAAACCCGAAAGAGCTGCAGGTGCTGTAAATCAGGAACAAAAGCAAAGTTGCTGGAAAAACCCAGCAGGTCTGGCAGCATCTGTGAAGGAAAAATTAGAGTTAACATTTCGGGTCTGGTGACCTTCCCCAGTTCTG